GGTGGAGGGAAGGTGGGGTAGAAAGGGGGAGCCTATTACAAGGATCTACATATAACCTCCTCCCTAGGGGATGGACAACAGAAAAGCGGGTGAAGAAAGATCTCGGATGTTGTAACATATGACCAAATAATAATTTATAAATTATCAAGGATTTGTGAGGGAGGGGGGATCAAGGAGAGAGGGGGGGAAATGAGGAGCTGATATCAAGGGCTCAAGTAGAAAGAAAATGTTTTGAGAATGACGATGGCAACAAACATACAAATGTGCTTGACACATGGATGGATGTATGGATTGTGGTAAGAATTGTATGAGCCCCCAATAAAATGATTTTTTAAAAAGTAAGAACAACAACAACAAAATTAAAATTAATTAAACAAAAGTGAGTTGGAAAGAGAAGCATCGTTGGAAACTGGATGCAGGAAATGAACATTTGGGAGGTGCTGAAGATATTGGAATAACAAGCCCCGGGTTCGATCATGAAGGGAAGGCTGAAGCCGTGTGAAGGACAAAATCACTGGAAGTGAGAGACCTGAGTGAGTGGCCAGGGAGTGCAAACTATCTCTGTGGAGAGAGATGTATCTAAGATTGTCACGAGAGTGTCAGAGGAGAAGACGGTGATTCATGCACTTAAATCTTCTCGAACCAGGGAAGTGAAGCAAAGCTGCTATTTCGCTGCAACAACAGAAGGTGGAGGGGGACTTAAATTGGGGACTTTTGCTTCAAGAGGAGGAGAGGGAACATAGTCTGGGAGTCGCAATAGAGAGCAGAGGACATACACCTTATTCTGAGCCTTGCGGTGCAGAGCGTTTGGGTGACTAGGAGACAGCGGAGAACAGAGAAGGATTGCAGTTACCCTTTGAGGGAGCTGCAGGGGAAAGCCAGTTGGGGATACAGAAAGAAAACCAAGCATTGTAAAGAACTTGTAAATGAAGAATTTACAATTGGTGAGAGAACTTTGCAAACTATTCAGTGGAAGGTGTCCGGTGACAGAGAGAGGGAGGTGATTAGGTGAGAACAGGAATGCACTGAGACGGATGAAGAGGAGTGTCTAAGATGATGGAAGACCCAGGGGACTTGAACTTCTGGGGGATCCTGGAAGCTCTCTACTTCAGGAAAATGGAGTCGTCTCTGGCTCCCCTAAAGCAAGAGCCACTCTGACTCCACTCCTATCTTCTGCAAAGCCTCCTCAGAACAAGTGCTTCGCTGAATGAACTAATGAATGAAGGCACGATAAATGATCCTTATAAAGAGAGGTATGGAGGGAGATATTCATTTGGGTGTCCAAATGGCAGGAAGCTTCTCATTGAGGAACAGAGGGGCAGAGTGAAAAGAACAGGATCTGGGGGAAAGGGTCAGGCTGAGTCCCTAGTTGGCCTGAGTCTAATAATGCTCTATGTCTTCAGAAAATTCCCGTCCCCTCCACATATCACTGGCCTTGACTCTAAAGGGGAAATTCCTCTTTGAGATGCTTGAGATAGACAGATAATTCGCCTTTGAGATTTTCGCACTGCTCCTGCAGCACATAATGCATTCCACTTGGAAACTGTGATGTCCTTGCTAGTTTCCCTTGAATCCACTCCAACTCAATGAGACATCCAACAGAATGAAACCTCGCCCGGTCCTCTGCCATCTTCACCACCAGTGCTGTGTTTGAGAGCATTGTTGGGGCTACTATGTGAACACATCTCACTGAGGGTTTCCTTCATTTGGGCTGATTCTCTGCTTGACCAAACATGTCCTTTTCCAGGGCCTAGTGTTTCCTAGTGATGTAAGCCAAAATTTCACAATCCTCCTTCCTGAGAGCTTTCTGGTTGTATTTTGTGTTAGTCTGGGTAGACTAGAGAAACAAACTCATAGACACACATATTTGTATAAGGAAGAGGTTTATATACAAGAGCAATTGTACATTAAGAGAACATCTCAGCCCAGTCCAGTCCAAGGCCAGAAGTCTGATATTAGCTCATATGTCTGCTACCAATCTATAAAGTCCTCTTCAGACTCATGAAACACATGCAATGACGCCAAATGCAGGACGATCACAAGCCAGTGGGTAGAAAGTCGTTGGGTCCATTGGCGTTGTAAGCATCTCAGCGCTGGCAGGGGTCTCTCTGTGGCTTCTCTGGCTTCAGAGGTCTGTTTGCATCCATGTGGCTTGTCTTCTGCAGTGTCTCCCAGGGAGTAACAGAGAGAGAGAGAGGTGTCTTCCACCTCCTAGGAGGAAGTACCAGATTTCCCAGAATTCTCAGGAGAAGGCCA